AAGAAGAAGAAGAAGAGGAAGATAACAATTCTGTGGCCGAGAATAATGTCGATAAAAATAGTGATTCAAAATTAGATCTAAAATGTGATTCAACTAATGGTTCAAAAAGTGAATTAAAAGCTGACTCTAAAAATGATGTGAAATTAGATTCAAAGAAGCAAAAGAAAGTGAGTGTCGATAACATTGGTTCTGATAATCCGTCTTCACTGCAAAGTGACTCTCAATGGATGTCTCCGTTCTTTGCGTCAGTATTAGCCGGTTCTCTGATACTCAACAATGAGACAAACGGCGTGTCCAACAGTGGAACTACAGCTTCACAACTGCCCCTCTCGTTTCCATTTGGATTAGATTTGGCCAATAATTCAAGTGCGGGTTTGGGCGGTTCGGCACTTAAAGGCAGTCAATCGGATAAGACGTGGTTCAGTGTTTTGCCGCGAATGCCTTGTGATGAAAGTGTCTGCCAGTCCTCACAATCAGATTTATCTCATTCTAACAAAAGTCATAATTCACTCAAACCGTCGATTAAATCGATTGACACAAACAGTTTGACTCAACAGCAAAAGCTATTACAACAGTCGCCTCTTTCATCACTGATGAATGGTTTGCCATCCAATCTGTTTATGCAGGCCTTCCTCTACCCTCATATACTGAGCTCATTGTTTAATCAGCACTCGTTAGGAGGGGGTCCCTGTCCTCCCGATACCTCTCCATTTTCATTCGGTTCGGCGCTCAATAAGAATACATCAAATGTATCCCAAAGTGCAGAATCAACTAATAGTGATCCACAAGAATCTACAAAACCCATGATAAGCACAACAAATAGTGATGTCTTAGTTGACAACGAACTCGACATTTGTCCGCCACTTCAGAAACGAATTGCTCAACAGAGGGAACAACAGTACGAAAGACCACAAAAGATTGGCAGAGAGTATCAGTTCGGGTGGTGGAGGATCACCGACTCGTCTCAACTCAAGATTATGCTCGAAGTCCTACACAACAGAGGAGTCCGTGAGAGACAACTACACAAACACTTAACCAAATATCTTAACTATGCGTCACAATCGTGTAAATCAAATGTCGCCGAACTCGAGATCACAGATATGGACCGAAAGATCGCTGAAATGTGTGCGTTTGGGGCCCCGAAGGATGGCAAATGTCCGCACGATTTGTGCGCCACAAGTGAGTGGTGTAGAGAAGTGGCGCTTCGTTTCGATATATCAGTTGTGGAACAAATCGAAGCCCTCGAGGAAAAGATCGCCACTTCTAGTATGCAAATCAGGAACTGGAAGCCAATGCCCAGAATCTCGTGCAATGAAAACATGAAATTCAGAGATGCGGCCGCTTTTGTCACATCCACTCCTTCCGATTCATCTGATTTGCAAACCAACGACACAGACGAAGACAATGAGAACTCTAGCGATAAGAATAGCGAAGAAAACGAATCTCAGAAAGAATGCCAAACATCTGAGGAATCAAACGCTGAATCGGATGAAATAAATCCCGTGAATGTAGGGCGCGATCGACTCCTCGGACTCGAGGCTGTGATAGAGAGACGTTATCTCAAACCTCCGTTAGGTTTCAAAAGTAACACAATTTTGGTTTCAACGAACAGTTCAGATGTGGGACCGATGGATGACTACAACGATAACGTGGCCGATGAGAACGCCACGAGTGGTCTCCTTCGGTGGAGGGATGCAGTGAGAGAGTGCCGGTGCAGCGCCGAGATTGCTCTCTGTCTCCACTTTCTTGAGACGTGTATCGCTTGGGATAAGTCTATTATGCGAGCCGTAAGTATTGAAACGATTATTGATATAATTTAATGATAATTACGTTTAAAATATAAACTAAAATGATATGTAATGACGACAGAGCTGTCAGTTTTGTGGTTCGGGTGAAAATGAAGCGCAACTACTTTTGTGTGACGGTTGCGATAAGGGTTATCACATGTATTGCTTCAAACCTAAAATGGAAAGCATTCCCGAAGGCGACTGGTTTTGCTTTGAATGTCAGAACAAAGTAATATACTCTTTGTTTACCTCTGCTTATGATATGAACTAATAAATGTTGATCTCTTAAGAACACTATCGATAAAGTTTGTGTGGTTTGTGGTAAGAAAGGAAAACTATTGAACTGCGATTCCTGTGCGAAAGTATTTCATCCCAACTGTTTGGATCCTCCCATCACTAAGTAATTAATTATTCTGTGTTTTAATCATTTATACAATATTTTTGTAATTTTTATTAATTCATAAAATATATTATTTCACTTAAAGGCCACTAAAAGGCAAATGGATTTGTCATATGTGTGGACGAAAACCAAAGAAACCAATTCCTCAAAAATCATCGAAAAAATCCCAGAATTATACTTCTGAAGAGAAACTCATTGAATCCATAAATAATACATCGAATGCCGTGAATACCAGTTCCACAATCAGTGCACCGAAAGAGAGCTCTAAACGGTTGTCGAACGGAACCAATAAATCGGAAAAAGAGACCAAAAAAGAAAAGAAAACGAAACAATCGGACAAAAGTTCAGAATTGAATTCTTGTAAAATAATTTTAGACGCTATGGAAGGTCACGAACATTGCTGGCCTTTCCTGCTTCCGGTCAACACAAAGCAGTTCCCGACATATAAGAAGATTATTAAGAAACCAATGGACACGACAACAATCAGATCCAAATTGGATGCTTCGAGGTTTGAATTGTGATGTCATGTGTTTTACTGAATTCTCATTTCATATGTTTGTCTGCAGTTATAAAAACAAAGAGGACTTTTCACAGGACGTGCGCCTAATATTCGACAATTGTGTCACTTTTAACGAAGACGAGTCACCGGTAGGACAGGCCGGACACAACTTAAGGGCTTTCTTCGAGACTCAATGGAAAGAATTGTTTGGAAGTTGAGAATGGATTTAGTTATCAATTGTTTTAAATACTGGTTTTATAGTTGACTGCATTTTTAGGTACTTTTTCAGGCCTATCCCTAATTCTGTAATTTGTATTATCGAAAGGACAACAGTAGCCCTCCCCCTCCCTATTCCCCAATTAACTCCGTCAACATTAACATAATATTCATTATTGTATTATATATTATAAGTTTATTTAATGCAATCGAATACAAGTGTATTAATTAGTATTTTTGTAAATTCTCTTCCAAATTGCAATCATTTTATATATCCGACCAAATCATGTGTTTATTTAAAATCAATTATTCAATTATTTCATATTTATTATAATTTATTATTTATTAATTTATGATTTCATTTGTTTAGTACTTTTCACTAAAAATTATTCATTTTTTGTTTAATTAAATTATATAACAATAAAATGAATGCAAAAATGCATTAATTTATACAAAAAGCTATTTTTATTTTCTGTAATATTTTTTGTTTGCCATTTATATTACAGCTAGCAATGGAATGTTGGCATTATTTGTATGGAATAGATAATGTTTAATTATACCTCTACAATTTAGAGTCTAAATTAATGGCAGAAATTCATTTAAATTGTATCAATACCGGTATATTTATGTTGAAATTGTTGGCAAGCTATGGCAAATAATTGTACAGTATACCAGTCAACGCTAAGAATACCCTACATACCAAGATATATTATATATTTATAAGTAATTAATCAATAAATTACTAATTAAATATATCATTTGGTAAAGTGTAGCAATTGTTAATACCTTATAAATTAGGATCAATATAATAATGTATTATAGTATATAAATAAAGATTAGTACACCGTCTTTGAGATAAGTCTACAATAGTAAAGGGAAAAGATATTAGAGTAATATTAGAATTTAAGTCAACATTAAATATATTAATAAGGGATTGGATTTTGAATGATTCTTTATATTGACAAGTTTGTGAGGATTAACAATAATTATATTGTTTTAATTTAAATCCTGTAAACGCTATACCAGTTATACAGTACAAATGGATAATAGTAAAAAGATGGTATTCAGTGAGAAAATTGTTTAATAAATTATACAGTACTTGAATTAAAACATATTGTTAGATTCTACACTATTTCTAAATTGATTTAGCATTTATACAATAAGTGATTACTGTAGGAACATAAGGGAAACATAGGCTTTCAGTACATACATGCTATGAATGGGATATTTGTTCGTATGTAGGGTTTGACAGGTAGTGAAAGCAATGTTACCTGTATTTGGGAGGAGTAAGAGGTGTTTGTTTGGAAGGCTTTCCTCAGTTCTCAATACAGGTGTTGTGCAGTAGTTTTGATCACTACATGACAATCAG